GTATCTAACACAGCAGCAGGGAAAGGGGGCCGGGCATCAGGCTAGCTAGCCTCACTTCATTATCCTCCCTGTGTCTGGAGGCGCTCTCATGGTATAGTGGTTAAGGCACTTGGCTACCAACCAAAAGGCTGGTGGTTCAAATCCACCAGCCGCTGTGTGGAAAAAAGACAAGACAGTCTGTTTCCATAAAGATTTATAGCCTTGCGTTTACATCAGGTGGATACACTCCTTGGAGCAAGCGATCATGGGAGAACAAAAGAGCAGTGTTTGCACAGGGAGACAGCTCAGGGGGCAGGAACGCATAGGAAAGAAGGACACGGAAGAAGAGGTAACCACAGGGAGGAAGTGGGAAGAGAGCTGTTACATTGTGAGGAATTGCAGTCAATATCATGAGACAAAATGTGTATGAACTGCTGTACAGAAAATGAATTTGCTCTGTAAATTTTGAGCCAAATCACAGTAAAATTTAGAAAAAAAAAAAAAAAAGATTTACAGCCTTGGAAATCCAATGGGGGTCGCTATGGTTAGAATTGACTCAATGGCAGTGAGTTTTTTGGTCTCCGGAGAGTGTTGCAGTGGACAACTCGGCCCCATCTGGCCCTGAGGGACAGCTGCCTGTCTCCAAGTGGCCTGGTGCACAGCCCGTGCACTGCCCTCTCTGAAGGGTGTTGCCCCAGAGGACTTGGCCTGTGGCCACTGCGTTCTGTTGCATCTCTGCGTTTCCAGCCAGGTGCCTCCACGTGGAGGCCACTGTATCGGGGGCCTGTGGCTCAGACTTCTTCTGGTCCCTCGGCTAACGTCTCCTGACCAGGGGGAAAGACTGAAGTCACTTTCCACACTCTGACACATTAGTCAGCACGTTCTCTCTCCTAGTTCTTCACCTTCACCCTCCTCCTGGCCCCGAGGTCCATAAACCCACACAAGCCTTCTTTTTGCGGGGTTCCCTCAGCAGTAAGGTGGTCTCCAGCTGCTGGAATGACCCATCTGAGAGCCCTGGAAGGCAGGAACAGCTCTGTGCCTGCAGTGTAGTAAATTACTTAGTATGGCTTTTCTACCCATAAGTCATTGTAAACTCAGTGGTGGAATGAGCAACTGAGGAGCTGATTGTAAATGTTATCCAAGTGGAGTATTTCTGTTGGGCGTGGCACAATATAATGTTCTGGGAGGTGCCCACTCTCTCTCAGCTGCTTA